GGGCTCAGTGGTAGAACCCTTGCCTAGAGGCCAGCGAAGGCCTGAGTGTGTGACTCAGTGCAGAGTGTTTGCCTAAGGTCCACCAGTAAAGAGATGGGGGTGTGGCTCAGTGGTAGAGCCCCTGCCTAAGCATCTGGGAGGCCATGGGCTCTATGCCCAACACCACAAAAGCTTTTTTTTTTTAATTTATGTCCATTGCTGTTTTATCTCCATGTATGTTTGTGTGATGTCAGATCTTCTGCCATGTGGTTGCTGGGAATTGAACCTGGGTCCTCTGGAAGAGCAGCTAGTGCTCTTAACCCCAGAGCCATCTCTCCAGCCCCCACTGAGCCAGAGGCATGGAAAACAGAGAACCTTGAAAATGAGGCAAAAATAGAGGAAAACATAGAGAAGTGAGTTTAATGAAGACATGTCCAGATAGGTTGAGAAAGGCAATGTACAGCCTGGGAGACAGAATAATCCCAATCCCAGCACTCAGCACACTGAGACAGAAAGGTGGACACAAGTTCCAGGCCGAACTGGGCTGCTGGGAAAGCCCATCTCAGAAAGCAAAGATGGAGGAAGAGAGAGCAGGCGAGGAAAAACGAAGAGTTAGTGTCTGTCCCACTACGGAACTGTGAGCCCGAGGTGAAGGCCAGGGTTGTCTTGGTTACCGCTGTACCCGCAGCATCACCCAGCCCAGGGCTAGTTTAAGGGATGCATAAATAAACAGGATCTTAACCCTCAGTAAAAATGTCTCAGCCACCGTGAGGTGACAAGTCCCAGGTCAGATGATCCAGCTTAGAACTGTGAATGCAGCCTCTGTTCCAAGAAATTACTGTTCAAATGAGACACATGGACCCGTAAAACGTGGCAGCCACGGGCCCTCCAGTCAAAAGAAGACAGGGCAGACAAAGGGATTGCACGTTGCTATTTTAGAAAGGGTTCCTTGAGAACCAAAGGAAAGGAAGGGGCGTGTCAAGAGAGATGAGCATGGCTCACATGTGCAAAGGTCCTGAGGTAGTTACCTGCTTGTCCCTCACCAGAGCATCCAGGAGCCAGAGCAAGCAGATGAACAGGCAGATCAGACTCCTACAGGGAGAGGCCACCTAAGGATCTCAGGACAACCAGGGACATCCCATGCAGACAGACAGTAACGTGGAAAAGTCCCGTCCCTTCTACAGCCTTCTTCACCAGGAAAGCCTCCCAGGCCCTGGGAAAAGGATTCTGGGTCCCCCTGTATGCCTGCCCATGCCCCGCCCACTCACACCTTGGGCAGAGGAAGCTGGCAGGCCCCCACAGGAACCTTTGTATGGGGTGTCAGTGAATAGAGGCGGGGAGCAGGCGGAGACGAGTGCACTGTCGAGCAGGCAGGCAGCGGCTACACAAAGGCCCCAGTGTCTGCCCCTCCTGCCCCCATACAGATATAAATAAGATGTGCATATACCTTTTTATATACACCAGCGGGCTGAGGCAGAGGCTGGGGGCCCGCTCTGTCCCTGGAGGGCCTAGGCGCAACACAGTCTGCCGCTGTGGTCAAGACTTGAACCAACCAAGAAGGTGGGAGAAGCTTCCACAGTGGAAGGCAGCCTGAGAGTGATCCCAGAGCTGGGAAATGACACAGTAAAGTGATTCTGAACTCAGAGACACATCTGAGAAACAAACTAGGCTGGCAAGAAGGGATGGATGGAGAAAGACCGACAACAGGATGAAGAGATGGCGGGAAAAGCCAGAGCCACGGAAACATGGCAAAAGGAAGTAGGTACAGAAAGATACCAAGATGAAATACAGGTAGCACGGGTGTGGTGGCCTGTCACCCCAGCACCTGGGAGGTGAACTTAGGAGGAACAAGAGTTCAGAGACCAGCCTGGGCTATACATCTCAGAAAACACAAAGAACCCCCCCCCAGCTCCACTAAAACAGATGAATTTAAAACACACACACACACACAGACGAGGGCTAGGCACATAGTTCCCTTGGCAGTGTTTGTCTAGTGTGCAAGAAGGGCTGGGTTCAATACACAGCACCTCATGCTCTGGGCATGGTGGCTCATGCCCATAATGGCAGCAATATGGAGGTAGAAACAGGAGAATGGGTCATCCAAGGCCATCCTCAGCTACATAGCGAACCAGAGGCTAGCATAAGCTACAGGAGATCCTAGAGCAATGGTTCTCAGCCTGTGGGTCGCGACCCCCTTGGCTCACATACCCCTTCCACAGGAATCACCTATGGTCATCTGCACATCAGATATTTCCATTACAACATCTGCATCTAAATATCAGATATTTACATGACAGTAGTAAAAGTATAGTTATGAAGTAACAGTGAAATTATTTTATTACAGTTGGGGGGGGTCACTACAATATAAAGGGTGATAGCATTTAGAAAGCTTGAGAACCACTACCCCAGAGAGAGAGAGAGACAGACAGGCAGACAGACACAGAGACAGACAGGCAAACAGATAAAGGGACAGACCAGGCTGAAGCCAAGGCTGGGTCTGTGAGTCCAGGGTGGCTGGGGGCATGTCAGTGGGCTGTGATCCAGCTGGGCTGGAAGCAGCCCTCAGAGAAGAGAGCAGAGGTGAGGGAGATGCCCTGGGCCTCCAGAGCCTCTTGTTTACCTGAGGCAGGCATGGCAAACAGGCGTCCAGCCTGGACCACAGCAGCCAGGGTAGGCTGGGCTGGGCCGCAGTCCTGGCACCGGTGGGCCCGACACGCCCACCTGTGGCCTGAGTGGTGAGTAACACACACGCTGGCACCAGGGTAGATGGTGACACATTCGTGGACAGACACAGTGACGCACAGTGACCAATATAGGCAGATGTGCAAGTCTGAGGGACAGACACACTTACTGTGACACATAGAAGAGTGACACGTAAAGGTGCCGTTATGCCTGGAGCCAGTGACAGACACAATGACAAGTGACAGTGACCAAGATACAGAAGCACACACTAATATGCTAAAAGACATGTCATCACAGAACAACGGAGAAGCAACATCGAAAGGACACTAAGAAAGGTAGAGAGCTGTATCACACACACACACACACACACACACACACACACGTACACACCTGTGAACTCTTGTGGGTGAAGCTACTACCATACCAAATCGTGGCAGGAAGCAGGGGGCTATTCTCTAGAACAGTGGAGATCCAGGGCACCGAGTCAGAGCCAGGTGGCCTTCCTGGGACCTCCCCCAGCCACTAGTTGTATGATCTTGATCAAGTCAAGCCAGCTCCATACCTCAGTTTTTACCTGAAATAAAGTAAGGGGCCCCAGAATGGGATTATTCAAATTACTCATTGCTTCTCAAGTTGTCTTGTTTGTTGAAGAGACAGGCACACTATGTAGCTACATAGCCTAGGTTGGCCCACAAACATTCCTGCCTATGCTTCCCGAGTGCTGAGACCACAGGTGTGAGCTAATAGGCCCAACAGCTAGGGCCACTTCTTCGGTGATTGCCTCACCTCAAAGCTTCCCAAGTATATATAGCCCCGTGCTCAAGCTGGGACCCAGGCCCCTAGCCTCAGTTTCCTGCCCACAGGTCTTTTCCTTAGACTATGTCATGTCAACCCCACAGCCCAACCCTCCCTATGTTCCCATGCCTTTCCCCCACCCCAACGACCCATCCCTCATCGCGTCCTCCTGTCTCTCCACGTCCCACGTCGGATGGTGGTACTTTTCCACGTTGGACACCAGCCGGCTGTCCCTGGGGTGGGGGGTCACACCTGCCCACGCCAGGCGAGGCCAGGCAAGCTGGTGGCCACCAGAAACCCCGACAGATGGCCCCACCCTCCCCTAAGGACCCTACAACACCCCGCCTCTCAGGCCACCTGAGGTCCCCAGTGGGGCAGCCTGAGGCCCGAGCCTGGGGACAGGAAGCCCCAGGCCTGGCTGCCCTGAAAGCCTCTTTCAACCTGGGCCTCCTCCCGCCGCCACCGACTCCTCCTGCGGAATAATATTTGGGCTGTTGGCCCGGGTGGGGTGGGGGGGCGGGGGCCAGATCCGGAGGCCGCCGGGGAGAAGCCAGAAACCGCAGGGCTTCCTGCCTAGGGCCGGCGACCCCCAGGCCCGGGGGAGGGCCGGGGCCCGGGGAGACTGAGGGCCTTTCTCTCGGCCCCAGTTGTTTTTTCCAGGAACCGGGAGGAATTCCCCAGGACAGCCAGCCTGGTGGGACGGCTGACAACTGGGAGCCAGCAAGGCAGGGGGCGGGGGTGACACGCGGCCCGGGCAAGGCGGGACTGCGACAGAAATAGAGGGACCCGCCTGCCAGGCGGCAGGTAAAGGCGGAAACTCTGAACCCGGAGAGGGAGGCCAGAGAAGAGAGCCAAGGAGGGGCCAGAGTGTGGGTGACTAGAAAGACTGACAGAGTGGTCCTAGCTCCGTAGGTAAGTGATTGCCTAGAATTCTCCAGTCGCTGGGTTCCAGCCCCAGCACTGAATACACCAGAATAAATCAGTGTAGACCAGGTGTACACCCCTGTAATCCTCGCACGGAGAAAGCCGAGGCAGAGGGATTGCCGTGAGTTTGAGCACCCCATAGTATGAGACCCTCTTTCAAAAATAAGTAAATAAAATTAAAAATTCTCTCTCTCTCTCTCTCTCTCTCTCTCTCTCTCTCTCTCTCTTTCTCTCTCTCTCTCACACACCTTCAAGTCTTGCATTCTTTTCCTTTCATCCCCCAAATTGATAGCCTATAGTTTCTCTAGCCTTAGAGCTCCAGGTGTGGTGTGTGTGTGTGTGTGTGTGTGTGTGTGCAAGGGGTGAGGGGCAATGGCCTTGGTTACTGCAAAGCCACCTCCCCCCTGGCTGCTCTGGCCCCACTACTGCGGGGGCTGCTATCTATGAACAAACTGTCCTTGGGGTCAGGGACAACAAAGAACCAAAGGTCACATTGCTGGTTTTTCCCCCTAGCCCTTCCCCCACAGAGGCCACCAGCTCCCTGGGATAGGAAGACAGGCACAGAGGAACACATATTTAGGTGTTTGAGCCTCGCAGGGTCCACTAAGAAAAAGACACTATGGAGACGATGCCCTTTTAATGGTTAAACACAGGCAGTATCCCAAGCTCCAGACAAGAACTTGACCTCAGTAGGAACTCTCTACACCCACATTAGCCTCTTCTCACGGACAGGATGGTGATGGGCTTCAGAGAAAAGTCACAGGGTCTGCTTACCTCTACCCCTTACCCAACCCCCACCAAGGAGATGGTGACAACAGGCCTGTAGTGACCATCTTGGTGTATAACAGCATGTCAAGATGTCACCTTGCCAATACGGTGACCTTCCGTGCATCCAGAATGTCAAAAAAGACACCATGTGATATGATGGCCAACTTGGCATCTTCTGTACCAAGAAGTCTGCCAAAAAAAAAAAAAAGAAAGAAAGAAAAGAAAAAAAAGAAAGAAAAGAAAAAAAGGTGATCCCAGAATACAATGGGCCAAAGAAGATGTGGCTGACACACACAGTGTGACTGTCACACACTCAAAAAGTCAATCAAGATGTCCATCACAGCATCCAAAGGGCCAAATGATGTGTCATCCAACATCGCAACCATCAGGCACCCCGTGGATCAATCACCCGATGGCTTCAGTTAATATGGCAGCTTTCATAGTAAACCAGTCTAACTTCACAATATGTCCAACATGGCCACCTTCGCAACACTCCCAAACGCATCTGACTTCACAATACCCCAACCCTAGGTCCACCAAAGAGTCCATGGCAGTTACCACAGTAGCCAATTAGGTCATATCACAGTAATAGGCCAAATAAGATGTTAATTAACTGGACAAGCAAAGTGTAACCACAAAGATCAGAGCCCAAGAACATGGCGTCTGTTACAGTTAACCCCCATCACCACGTTCCCAATTGCGCTGCTAGGATGCATTAAGCAGAGAGCGGGAATAGAGGCTCTGGTAGTAGACCCCAGGCTCCCCACTCTCAGCTGAGTAGCCCCCAAACCCCACATCCAGTTTGGAAGGTGTTGACGTCTGTTCTGACATCAGGTTGTTGATAGAGAAAGGGTGGTTGAAGTTGTAGGGCGCATCCAACTTCAGTTCCCCGGGGAGCTCCAGGCCAGTGAAATAGGGTGTGGACGAAGGAGGTGAGGCGCAGTCCAGACCTCCCACATCTTCCCCACTCTGGGCCTCGGGCTCAGATGGCGTAGGCTGGGGCTGAGCTGGGGAGGTGACTGCAGAGGCAACTGTAGTGGTGACAGAGGTGGCTGACCCCATGGTACCATTCCTGCTGGCGGATGTGGCACTGTTTCCTTTCTTTGCCTTCTCCTCCAGCTTGAAGCGCTTCTGACGGCGGAGGTAACAGCCGTTCTCAAACATGTTCCCGGAGCTGGGATGCAAGGCCCAGTAGGAGCCTTTGCCTGGCTTGTCTGGGGAGCGCGCCACCTTGACGAAGCAGTCATTGAAGGACAGCGAGTGCCGGATGGAATTCTGCCAACGTTGCTGGTTCTCCCGGTAGTACGGGAAGAGGTCCATGATCCATTGGTAAATTTCACTCAGGGTCAGCATCTTGCCTGGCGCCTGCTGGATAGCCATGGTGATGAGAGAGATGTAGGAATATGGTGGTTTGGCGTGGGCCAGTGGCCGCCGGTACCCCTTCGCCATCTCCTTTCCGTGTACCATCCCAGGCCCTGGGGCTCCATACCCGGAAGCACTGCCTCCGGTGCCGCCACCAGCTCCCAAGCTTGGGAAGGTGGGCCCCAGGGGCGCGGTGGGGGTTGGGGGTGCTAGGGGTCCTGTAGGCAGTGGGGAGGCCTGAAGCCCTCCGGGAGGGTAGGGAGAGCTGAGAGGGTTCAAGGTCATGTAGGAGTTGAGAGGGGCCATGGTGGGCACAGGATTCACTGGAGAATACACCTGGAGGGAGAGCGACAGAGATACATCAGTGGGTTCCACTCTGCTGCTCAGCAACGGAGCTCTCGAATACAGGCCTACCTATGTTTTTAGAGATAGTTTCATCTAGCCCAAGCTGGCCTCAAACTCACTATGTAATGGAAGAATGACTTTGAATTCCTGATCTGTCTCCATCTTCCAGCAGCTGGGTATACTGTAGGTGTGGGCTGGCATGCCCAGCTCAGCGCGTGCCTAACCTTTTCCATGAGTCCCGTCCATCATTGTGTCTCTCCAGAGGTAGCTACTTTCCCAAGTCCTGTCCCCTGCTTCCACTCTTGGGCTCTGTCCCCTCCCATACTTTCAAGGTCATGTTTGAACTCTGTTTTCAAACGGTAGACTTTCTGAAACCTTTTTAGGGTATCGACCAAGCTAATGACATGTTTTTTTTTTATATCTCTTTTTTTTTTTTTTTGACATTTTGTATTTTCAAGATGGATAAGATCTCACCCTGTAGACCAGACTGGTCTCGAACTCTGTCTGCTTCTGCCTCCTGGATGCTGGGATTAAAGGCTGTGCTACCAGTGCCCAGCAAGGGCATTTTCAAAACCACACTGAAGTATCAGTTCTCTGGGATTATGGTGATACAGACTTATACTCCCAGCTAGGTGGGAGGCTAATGATCACAGGTTTCCAGGCCAGCCCGGGTCTCAGAGACTTCTAGGACAGCCTGGGATAATGTCACAAAATAATAAAAAGAAGGGCTAGGGAGGTGGCTCAGTGGTAGAACCCCTGCCTAGAATCCCCCAGTGAGGGACTGGGGGTGTGGCTCAGTGGTAAAGCCTCTTCCTAGAATTCCCCAGTGAGGGGCTAGGGGCATAGCTCAGTGGTAGATCCCCTGCCTAGAATCCCCCAGTGAGGGGCTGGGGGCGTGGCTCAGTGGTAGAGCCCCTGCCTAGAATCCCCCAGTGAGGGGCTAGGGGCGTGGCTCAGTGGTAGAGCCCCTGCCTAGACTCCCCCAGTGAGGGGCTGGGGGCATGGCTAAATGGTAGACTGCTTACCTAGCATACAGGAAGGCCCTGATTCACTCTCCAGTAAATCAAAAGAGAAAGATTTTCGTCAACCTTTTGTACCCTCTTCCTTATGAGAGTACTACAAGTTTTTCATTGATCTGCAACATCTGCTATTGCAATAGACCAAAGGTCTACCGCCTGCTCATGTCCTCCCTGCTGTGTGGCCAAAGTGGAAGACAGTGTGCCCTCTTCCCATTAAGCACTATTTATTTATTTGTTTGTGCTTCAGACAAAGCCTCACTGTGTAGCTCAGGCTGCTCTCAAACTCGCTATGCCCTTTTAAACAGCTTCTGAAACCCCGTAGTTACACTAGTAAATGAGTGCTACTTTAAATTAGGGGCCAGCAAATGGCTCGGTGGGTAAAGGCCCTTGGCGCCAAGCCTAACAACACAAGTTCGACCCTCAAGCCCCTACCTGGTGGAAGGAGACACCTGGCTCTGGACAGTTGTCCTTTGCTGGCCGAATAAGTGCAATAAATAATAAGTAAGGTTTTAAACTACATTGATGCATTTTTAAACTTCAAGATTTACTTTTGAATATAATAATTATCAATAGACATATCCCAGATCAAAAGAAACTGGGACAGGGTTGGCGGCACGGGACTGTAGTCCCAAAAATGGGCAGGGAGAGGCAGGGGGCTACCTAGCAAGACTTTACCTCAAACAAACAAACAAACAACCTCCTCCCCCAAAGAAACCAGCAATAACAAAACGCCAAAAAAAAAAACAAAACAAAACATGAAATTGTTTGGGGTCTGTAATATTTTTTTTTTCTTTTGGGGGGGTGGGTGTTGTTTTTTCAGACAGGGTTTCTCTGTGTAGCCCTGGCTGCCCTGGAACTTGCTCCGTAGACCAGGCTGACCTTGAACTCACAGAGCTCTGCTTGCCTCTGCCTCCTGAGTGCTGGGATTAAAGGCGTGCACTAGCACTGCTCAGCTTCTTAATACATTTTTAATAGTGTAAAGAGGTTGAGGGCTGGAGAGATGGCTCCGTAGTGAAGAACAACCACTGTTCTTCCCAAGGACAGGAGTTTAGTCCCAGCACCAACACCGGGCACAATACAACTGCTTATAATTCTAGTCCCAAGGGATCTGACACCTCTAGTCTGTCGAGCACCTGCCTGGATGTGTGCATAATCACATTCATATGCATAATTTGAAATAACTTTTAAAACATAATAATGACGTTTAAAAGTCTCTTTGCTTGGCATAATGGTGCCTGGCTAGAACCCTGACATTCAGGAGGCTGACACAGGCATTCAAGGTCAGCCTGGTCTATATACCAACTTCCAGACTAGCCAGGGCTACATACTGAAACACTGCCTTTAAAAAGAAGAGAAAAAGCCAGGCAGTGGTGGTGCATGCCTTTCATCCTAGCACTCAGGAAGCAGAGGCAGAAGGACCTCTGTAGCCTGGTCTACAGAGCTAGTTCCAGGATAGCCAGGGCTATACAGAAACCCTGTCTCAACAGAAACAAAAATAAAAAGTTTCTGAGCACAATGAAATTGAGAAATCAATTATTGATTTGAAAATAATTGAGAAATCCATCAAAATTAGCCAAATCAGCTAAAAAAACATGATTTATGTAACAAAATTGATGGCTTTCCTTGCTCTTCTTTTCAAATTTATTTTATGTGTATTATTGTTTTGCCTGTGTGTATATACACCATGTGAGTGCCTGCATGTGTGTATATACACCATGTGAGTGCCCGGTGGCCAATGAGGCCAGAAGAGGGCGCCAGATTTCTTTTCCTGCAAGTTGCCTTCTGATCTCTAATTGTGTTTACGTGGGATACTCCCCCCCCCACACACACAAATACTCAAGCACACACGTGCACACAAACCCATGCACAAATGTGCACATGCACATACAGAGGAACACACACATGTACACACACTTTCGCTCTTATAAATAAATGAAACAAAATTTAAAGACCTTAAAAAAAAAACATTTACAGACGTGCCCTATTTTCAGAAATGTTCACATAGGGTAACATGTGCCTCTTAGCTGAGGGAGACACAATACAAACTGCTGTGTCTTCCAGAATCACTCTCAGGCTGCGCCAGGAACTGACCCAAGCATTCCACAGATACTGTCTCTAATCCTTACCAACCTGTGTGTGTGTGTGCTGTTATTACTGTGATACTGTTTTGTGGTTGATGCTGAGGCTTGAATCCCAGAGTCACACATACTAGGCAGGGGCTCTACCACTGAGCCACACCCCCGTCTCACTGGGGGATTCTAAGCAGGGGCTCTACCACTGAGCCACGCCCCCAGCCCCTCACTGGGAGATTCTAGGCAGGGGCTCTACCACTGAGCCACACCCCCAGCCCCTCACTGGGGGATTCTAGGCAGGGGCTCTATCACTGAGCCACGCCCCCAGCCCCTCACTGGGGGATTCTAAGAGGGACTTTACAGCTACTATCTCTTGCTTGAGAGGTGTTATGATACCCATTTTACAGCTGAGTCAACTATGGCCCTAAGAAGTTGTCAGGGGAAGAGGAAGAATTGTGATAGTCTAGCCCTACCAGTGTGCTGGACCATGCTATGAAAACTGTGCTCAAGGCATCCAGATGTGTCCACAGCTGTAGATCTGCCTAGAAGGGAGTCGGTAATCCCGAGGATAATGGAAACACTGAGGTATCAGATGGTTCTCTTTCTAGATATACCTGCCCTGTCCACCCACTGTCCTCCCTCCTCTCTGCCCCCCAGGTGGGGTCTCAGGGCATTGGAGGGGACCTTAGACTTGGTGGTGACTGATTGGAAAGCACTTAATTTCTGATTTTCTGCCACTGGGAGCATTAGCTGGACTCGAGGTCCAAAGAACAAAAGAACTTGCCAGAATAGCTTAGGGAGTCACAGACAGGTGACAACCACCTTCACTAGTCTCTCCAGGTGGCTCATTTCTCCTTCCCTTTGACAAGAGTGTCGTGCAGCCCAGGCTAGCCTTGAGCTAACATAGGATAACCTCCAACTCAGGATTTCTGCCACTACCTCCAAAGAGCAGAGATTACAAGCATGGGCCAGCACGGTTGGTTTCTACCATGCTGGGGATTGAAGCCAGGGCTGCCTGCATGCCAAGCAAGTGTTTTACCAACGCGCTCCAGCCTACACCCCAGACAGTTTTTTTTTCCCATTATATGTAAGTATCTGTATGTGGCTATCTGCAAGTGAGCGTGGGTGCTGGTGAGCCCAGAAGAGGGCTTCAGACCCTCTGGATTGGGAGTTACAGGCAGTTGTGAGCTGCCCAGTGTGAATGCTGGGTCTCGGACTCAGGTCCCCTACAAGAGCAGCATGGTACTCTTAACTCTCGAGCACACCTGCTCTCCCTTCTTCTCCCTCCGTCTCCCTAGCAGCCACAGGAAGCTCCTTCTAGCAGACAAGGATGGCCTGCCCCTCCGCTCCTCCTGCCCCCACCTCTCAGTGCGGACTTTACCAGTGTTGCCACCGCACAGGGCTCTGTAAGCAGTTTTGTGTTTGTTCTCTCATGGTCTTCCTCCCTCCTCTCCCTCCCTCCTTCTGACAGGATCTCGCTCTACTGCCCTGGCTGCCTTCAACTGTGTGGCAATTTCCCTGCCTGGCCCCCCCCCCCCCAGTGCTGGGATTAAAGGTGTTTACCACCACCCCTGGCTCTCCCACTGGCCGTCCTGTATCGGGAACCCTAATTCTAACCCTCCCCTCCCCTCACATACCTCCCCAACCATCTCTCCCCTCTCCCACCTAGCGTTTGCTTGTCACCCCCCCCCCCC